TGCTTGGCCTGCTGTGTTCATCCAGCTCTACACCTTGTTATCGCAGATTTTCCAGCATCTGCAGTTCCTACCTTCTCACAAAACCTGTCAGGTTTGCTATTTCGTAGAATCCGTGCAGTGCAGAAAGAGGCCATTTGACCCATAGAGTCTGCGCCGACCCTCCAAAGAGCATCCCACCCAGACCAACTCCCCACTCAATCCCTGGTAACCTTGCATTTACCACAGCTAATCCACTTAGCCCGCACATCCCTGGACACTATGGGCAATTTAGCGTGGCCAATCCACCAAACATGCACGTCTTTGGACTGTGCGAGGAAGTTGGAACATTCAGCAGAAACCCCATGCAGACACGGGGAGAATGTGCAAACTTCTTACAGATGGTCGCCCCAGGTTGGAATCGAACCTGGGTCTCTGGTGCTGTGAGGCAGTAGTGCCGCATTTCATACACTGATCTGAGAGCCCTGATCGTGTATTCTAGCCCTGCCCTCAGAGACAGTGAAATTTTTCCCCTTCAACACGAGAAATTGTGGTCTTCCAAGATTTTACTGACACTTGTTTAATTAACAATGTTTATTGTGCACTCGTGCGACCCTGGAGCTGTGTTAAAATTCTCCAAACCGTTTTTTACAGAGCACGTGTTCCTAGCAAGCAAAAGATACTTCACCTTTTTCATATGGTCTAGAAGAAAGCTCCAAAACCTATTGTGTTAACTTGCAGCACAATGTAGTCCCAAAGATCTCTGGTTTCAGTGGGCTTGCTGAGCAACAGGACCGTAGTGTTGTTTCTTGAGAATTGTAGTTAGGGATTTCACTAATGCTGTTACTGTGTGAAGTAAATTGAAAGCAAGTTTTATATTTTAGTTTTGTCTTGATAATAAATACTCAAAGATGGTAACATTTTCTGTTGCTGCTTCAGTTGAAGTACAATGCTGCTCTGGTTGCTAAGGAAGAAAACAAAGCCTTTATTGAAAGAAAGGAGAAAGAAATCTTGGAAATGAAAGAGGCTATAGAGAGAAAAGAGAATTCATGTAATGTGCAGGTGAGACCATAAAATTTAATACTCTTTAAGATTTTTACACATTACTTTTTGTTTTGTTGGGATTTAACTGGAAAGCATTGAATTATTATAATTCTTTTCTTAACTCATTTCGTTATCACTGATGAAGCCGGCATTTGTTTCCTATCTTTAGTTGTCTTTGAACTGAGTGGCTTGCTATTTCAGCGAACAGTTAAAAGTCAATCACATTGCTGTGGTTCTGGAGTCATGTATATGTCATCCTAAATAGGGATGGCAGATTTTCTTTCCTAAAGGACATGAGTAACTCAGAGGGGCTTTTACAGTAATTAATGATTTCATGGTCATTGTTACTGACAATAATTTATATGTTCCAGATTTATTAATCTGGCGCATAGGGACACCCAGAATGTTGTTAGGAAGGTAGTTCCATGATTTTGACGTAGGGTTGGTGAAGGAATGGTGATAGAGTTCCAAATTAGAATGGTGTGTGACTTGTAGGGGAACTTGCAGAAGGTAGTGTTCCCATGCGTCTGCTGCCCTTGTCCTAATAGGTAATAAAGATCACGAGTTGTCGAATGTGCGTCTGGGTTATTTTAGTGCATCTGGGTTATTGAAGTGCATCTTGTAGGTGGTCCACACTGTTGCTACTATATGTCGATGGTGAAGGTGAATATTAAAAGTGAACATTGGGGTGTCAGTCAAGCAGACTGCTTTTTCCTGGATGGTGTTGAGCTTATCGAATGTTGTTGGAACTACTACACTCAACCAGGGTTGGAGGGTTTGAGCTACAGGGAAAGGCTGAATAGGCTGGGGCTTTTTTCCCTGGAGTATTGGAGGCTGAGGGGTGACATTATAGAGGTTTATAAAATCGGGAGGGGCATGGATAGGGTGTATAGCCAAGGTCTTTTTCCCAGAGTGGAGGAATCCAAAACTAGAGGGGCATAGTTTAAGGCTGGAGGGGAAAGATATAAAAGGGACCGAAGGGGCAACTTTTTCATGCAGAGGGTGATCCGTGTATGGAATGAACTGCCAGAGGAAGTGGTGCAGGCTGGTACAATTACAACATTTGAAAGGCATCAGGATGGGTGCATGAATAGGAAGGGTTTAGAGGGATATGGGCCAAATGCTGGCAAATGCGTCTAGATTAATTTAGGATATCTGGTCAGCATGGACGAGTTGGACCGAAGGGTCTGTTTCCGTGCTGTACAACTCTATGACTCTAAGTAGAGAGCATTCCATTCACACTCCTGACTTGTGCCTTGTAGAAAGTGGCTAGGCTCTGGGGAGTCAGGAGGTAGGGTACTTGCCATCAAGCAGGCGCAGACTCATTTGAATATCAGTTAATACTGGAATTTGACCACAGAACATTGTGCTTCATATTTTAAAGCTGAGGCCCGTGTATTCACATACAGTTTAAAGATGTATTGTGTAGTGTCTGTAACGAGGTCAGCCAGGTGGACCTCTCAGAATGAGTTCCCCAATTGGGGCTGTTAATCTAGTTCAATCAGAGAGTCCTGGCTAACAGCTAACAGAGGTTCTGTTCACTCTGAGATCAGTGTCAAGGATTCTCAACATGTAAATAAAGGATAACTTAATGATGGGATACCGTCCTCAGTGGAGTTATTATAGTAGTGACGAGAGAAAAGTGTATTCCTGAAGAAATTTGATCGCAATATTTTGGGTTGAGGTAAGCATTTCTGGCATCATGCCTTTATATGGGAAGCTTGACTCATTTGATCCTGCCTTCGAAGACCAGGCCCAGTATGTGGAAAGAATGTGTTATGTTTTCCCGTCAAATGAAATTGGGGCAGATGAAAAGCAACGAGTCATACTGTTGACAGCTTGTAGACTTGCAGCTTTTTTGGTTATTAGGAGCCTAACTTTCCCTGAGGCACCAGATACTAAAACCTTTCATGAGTTGATAGATTTAGTTAAGGAATATTATGATCCTGAGCCACCTCTAGTTCTGAGGTGCAGTCAGTTTTACTTGGCAATTCAAGAACCAGGGAAATCCGTATTGGGATTTTTGGCTAGGTTCAGACAACTGACGGAGGCATTTGACTGTGGTTTAATCCTCAATGAGATGCTGAGAGACCGTTCAGTATGTGAGATTAATGATGTAAGCATGCAGAAGCACCTACTAGCTGAAGCCCAACTGGACTTCAAACAGGCATTATCATAGCTTTATCATCGGAGAATGCAGCATGTGGAGCATATGAGTTGCAGGGTATTCCAGTGGAAGTGGACACCCTCGCCAGTCTGATTGCGCTTGGAGAACACCACTTGGATGAAGGCAATTGCACAGCCTCACTCAGAATATATCCTGAACAGAGGAACTCTAGGTCTACTCACTGCAAAACCCCAAAACAAAGTCAGGCTTCGGCCAAACAGTTAAAATTTTCTTCAGGATCCGGGACGGCAAGCCATTGTAGTTGCTACCAGTACATGGATTCGAGACAGCAAAAGACTCCCACTAGACCTAAACTGAGTAAGAGAAGTCATAGGCCGTTATCCAGGAGAGTGCATATCCTGGAAAGTCTACCTGTATCTGGGTTGGAACATTTAAATTGCTTAGCAACATCCAAATCAGAATCAATCAAAATAAATGTCTGGTTAAATGGTCACCCGGTTCTAATGGAGGTCAATACCGGTACAGCCGTTTATAAATACAGAACCAGCCTTTAACAAAATTTGCTCTGGACTCAAACCTTTAAGTTTGCTCAACGTTTCAGCTAGACTGTGAACCTATACCGGGGAATCCCTACAGATCAACGGTACAACTTCAGTTCTGGTCTTTTATGAGAAGCAGCTGGTTCAATTACCACTGATTGTCGTAAAAGATTCAGACCCAAGCTTAGTGGTGTGAAATTGGTTGAGAACGATTTACCTAGATTGGGTCAACATTTTCAATTAGAAAATGACTGCCTGAGCGAAGTCCTAATTGAATACCTGGAGGTTTTCCAGGAAGGTCTAGGAACTATCAAAGGAGCTGAGACCACCTTGCATGTTGATCAGGAAGCAATTCCACAATTCCGCAAGGCCCACCCACTGCCACTTGTCTTACAGCAAAAGAAGAGGCAGAAATCAGAAGGCTGGAAAGTGAAGGATTGTTCAAATCAGTCCGCTTTGCGGAATGGGCGTAGCGGTTTTACTGATTGTGAAGCCCGGTGGGTTGATTCACCTTTGTGGGGATTCTAAACAAGCGGTAAACTGCTTTTCGCAGCTGGATAAATACCCAGTCTCTCGCATAGAGGATTTGTATGTAAAGCTGACAGGGGGTGCTGACCTTCACAAAGCTAGACATGTGCCATATGTACTTGCAGTTGTGGTTAGATGAGAATTCTGAGAAGTATGCTACAATTAATACCAATAAGGGTTTCTACCAATATACAAGATTGAATTTGGGGTATTGTCAGCCTGTGCAATTTTTCAGTGGGTTGCCATTTATCTAGATGATGCGCTAATAACAGGGAAGATCTTTAAGGAGCAATTAGAGCACTTGGACATGGTCCTTAGATGTTTCTTCCAGGCAGGCATAGAAGGGAAAAATGTGTGTTCTAGGAACCCCAAGTGACCTATTTAGGCTACCGAATCAACACGACAAGGTTGCACCCGTTGGAAGATAAAGTGAGGACAAATAATGGTCCCCCTGCTCCCACGTCAGTACCAAAGCTTAGATCTTTCCTTGGGCTGGTGAATTATCCTGACATCTTTGCAACAATTCTTAAAAGTGGTCAACTTTGGAAATGGTTGCATAGCCAAACCATGGACTTTAGGGAAGTGAAGAAACTACTAGCATCCTCTAAATTGTTAGCATGCTATGATCCCACGTGGGATCTGGTAGTGATGTGCGATGCCTTCCCGTATGCCATCGGGGTAGTATTAACTCATAAGTGGCCCAATGGGGAGGAACACCCAATAGCGTACGCATCCAGGACTTTGGCCAATGCAGAGCGTTGTTACGCTCACACAGAGAAGGAAAATTTGGTGGTCATAGTTGGAGTCAGGAAGTGCCACCTGTACATCTGTGGGCATAAATTTGTAATAATAACGGATCACAAACCCCTGCCAGGTTTACTTAGAGGACAGGACAATGCCACTCGTGGCTTCAGGACAAATTCAGCGGTGGACTGAAATACTAAGTGCATATAATTACAAGTTGGAACACCATCCGGGAGGCCAAGTAGCAAATTCGGATGCATTGAGCCGACTCCCACTAGCAGATACACCTCAAGTGGATCCGCCACTGGAAGAGTCCGCAATGGTTTTAAATTTTCAGGATGCACCTTCAGTTGCGGCTGACGATGTCAGACTTTGGACACAGAAAGATCTAGTCCTGGCAAAACTGAAACAGCTAGTAGTGATGGGGGAAACCAAAGGGCCATCAAAACCAGAATTGAAACCTTTTTGGACCCAGAGAGACCAGATCGTAGTAGAGGACGGCATAATATTATGGGATGTAAAAGTGACTTGTCCCAAGCAAAGATCGCCGCCAGATACTGACTGGACTCCACCTGTTATCCAGGGGTTTCCAAAATGAAGATGTCAGCAAGAAATTATGTCTGCTGGCCAACATTGGATGCAGACACAGCTGCATTGGTGGGGCAGTGCCCAGAGTGCCAACAAGGACAAAAATTACCGCCAGCAGCTCCCCCACATTTTTTTGTGGGAATGGCCATGTAAACCCTGGACTTGGTTACACATCGACCATGCAGGTTCTTTCATGGGTTCAATGTTCTTAGTCATTGTGGACGTCCACTCAAAAAGTTGGACGTACATAGAGTTCATTTCATCAAACACAGAGACAACAATAGAAAAACTGCTCGCATCTTTTGCAATACATGGACAACCAGAAGTGTTGGTCACAGATAACGAACCATTGTTTACCAGCCAGGAATTTGAGTATTTCCTAAAGTTGAATAGTATTCGTCATATAAGGACAGCTACATGCCATCCATCATCCAATGGTCTGACAGAAAAAGCAGTCCAAACTTTGATGCGTGGAACAGCATCAGGAACACCAATGCCAGACACAAGACTCAGCTAAGCGAGAGAGACAGTTTACTTCAGGAGTCAAAATTTGGTGTAGGAACCATGTGAATGGTTTTACATGGGTAAAAAGGCTTGGTCGACAAGAGGTCAGGTCCAGTTTGGATAGTTGCAATAGTCCTGAACAGGCACATGGACCATATGAAAGTTGCAAATGGTACAGAAGAAAAACGTGCCTAGCTCGTCGACTGCATTTTCGACTGTTAGAGAACCTGTGTGTTCTCCCTCTTCATCAAACATTGAAGATAGCTCGGAATCTGGGATAGACACCAGCGGATATCGATGTCTCGACTCTTTTGCTGCCTGAAGAGAACAAATTTCTTCCGAGATTCTCCGGATGCAAGTGGCAAGCTACTTTGGGGTACACACTTCCCGTATCTGAGGCGGAGTTGAAGGAGCCTGACCTGGTGCAAAAAACACCTCATGAGGAGCTACAAAAAAAAACAGGCCTATATGCTGAGATTTCAAGCGGGAGGGACGAAGTGATTGTAACAAGGTCAGGCAGCTGGACCTCCGAATATGAGTTCCCTGATTGGGGCTGTTAACCTGGTCCAATCAGGGAGGCCTGACTGACTGATATAAACAGGAGTGTCAGAGGTTCTGTTCACTCTGAGAGCTGGCTCTGAGGGAGCTGGATCAGTGTCGAGGACTCTCCACGTGGAACTAAGGGGTGACTTGGTGATGGGATACTGTCCTCAGTGTAGTTTTTACATATTGTACTTTGTTTTGTTCCACAACTATTTTTTTGTAACTCTGAAATAAACTGTAATTATTTCCATTTTGCTTTGGTTACAGTAATATTAATTTTCAGCACATTTATCAGCAGATTTTAAGTCCTGCCTGTGGTTTCTTGATTCATCACATTTCCTAACTATGGGATGGAACAGTCTCCATAACCTATGTCCTACATCCAGAAATGAGTTTTGAATTGGATGAATGAGTTGTCAGGTAGTAGGAACGGGCGACAAATTCGGGCCGGCCGGCCAGCGTCACCCTTGTCCCACGCGTGAATAAATTTCTTTTTGAGAAAAAGCAAATTGTGACAAAAAGGCAAAATGGTTGTAGGGTGGCATGTTGTTCAGTGAAGTCGGGAGGGATCCACCTCATTATACATTATTGTCCCCAAATCTATTTTGGCATGTGATGCATTAAATGATTAAAGACGTGTGCGTATGTAGGTCAGCAAAATATGAGTGAAGGAAGTTATTGTGGAGTCAGAGGTAAGATCACCACCTATGGAATGTGAGGAATTTGCCAACCCTGTAGCAGAATTGTTAAATCTGATCCCCAAAACTGACAAGGCAAAGTTTCTGCACAATGCCGGATTCAATTCATTAATAGAACCTGAAAAGCTGGACTTGTTGCTGTGCCTGATTCTATCCACAGCTCCAGAAAATGCTGCAATCTTGTGGGAGATCCTGGATGGTCAAAGTGCAAGAATTGTACCAGTATTCATCCTGGTGGTTTAGTTGATTGAATTTCAGCAGTACCTCACTATGCACTTAGACCCTAGGCATCATCTCAGTGCTAAAGTCCCCGGGAGTTTGGTAAGATGAGTACATATGGAGAGGGAGTGCATTCTCTGTATGTGAAAAATCAACTACACCCTTTTGACTCTCTCAATAATTTTGGTTTGAAGTTGTGATGGCACATGCCAAAAGCCTGGCTAACCACCAAAAAAATTGTATAACCGGTTTAATAGGGACTTTTCCTTTTTATTCCCCCCAGTGAACAGCGAGAGATAAAACACTGATGCAACGACCAGTCAGTGAGATGTTTGAACTGGAATGTTGTGAGCAGTCAGGCAACAAAGGTTTGCAAGAATGGAATGTAGGGGTGTAGCCTAAAACCATTGTGTTAAAATCATTCCAGGTGATAACTCACAGATGTTCAGGAGGGAGGTGCGTTTCCTATTTTGCACTAATGCATGTGGGCAAAATGTATTTATTGAAATATACAAGATCCTGTAGGGATTTGCTGAAGCTTGAAAGTTGAGAGGATGTTTTCCTTTGTAGGAGGCATCACTAAGAGATGCAGTTTAGAAATAAGGAATTGTCCATTGAAAATGAGATGAGGGGACTTTTCTTCTGTGAGATGGGTGTTAGTCTGTGAAATTCTCTCTCTGTTCTTCCCCCCCATCCCCCCAGATAATGGTGAAAGTAAGTTGATTGAATATTTTTAAGGTTGAGTTAGATTGATTAATTGGCAAGGGAGTCAAAGTATAAGGGGTATACAGGAAACTGGAGATGAGGCCACAATCAAATCAACTGTGATTTTATTAAATAGTGGCGAATGCTTGAGAGGCTCCTTCAAATTCATATGAACAGATTAATTTGATTCGATCATTACTTGCTCAATATGTTCAACTGCTGTAAAATAACACAAGATTAAATCAATATTGATTAGTATCTTGCCAAGTGTTCATTCTGCCTTTAGAGAGATTGTAGTAGTACATTTGTGAGGGCATTAATATCCAATACAAATTAAACCACCATTATTATTTGACTCCCTGGGTTATGCTATGAAACACACAGACACAAGGTGGTATGACTTAACTGCCGCAAAAGTAAAATGATCAAACTGCTTATCAAAACAGCTGACTCCTCCAAATTCAAGAAAGTTTCTACTGTGAATCCAAATTTATAATAATTGCACTTGGTCTCACAAGTTTGTCTCTGTGAAGGTGGGCGAATTAATATTTATATAGAAATTATAGAGATATGGTCTATGTGACTTGATTTTTTTTTATCCCTTATCTGAGAACCTCTGTTTCTGCTACTAGAACAAAAAGAAATGATTCTCCTAACTGAAATCCCAGGTGCAAGAGCTAGTGTTCTTATGCTAAATTGTATGTTGCTCAATGTTCACATACATTGCTTTTAAATCCTCAGATGGAGATGCTTTGTGAAGATTTGACTAATGCCACTCAACAGCTTGATCAGCTGACAGAGGACTCCCAAAAACAGGCAGCAATATTACAGATAATGCAAGAAGAAGCAGAAAAAAATGCAATGACCATTAAAGAACTTCATGATCAGGTAATGAAATTAAAAGTTCTACTTCTCTAGATGTAAAAATATAGAATGATGTTGGCACTCAAGTTCTCTGCAACAGCAGTCATATCTTCTTAACTGCTGGAATGTTTGCTGATCACTTTGTACTGAAGTCATAAATTCCACTTTACAGTGAGCTTTAGTTTGGTAATTTTAGAATATAAGCAAATGTAACATTAGTTGAGCAGATGATTTTTGTTTCATATGGCAGGGTCCAACCTTTTTCTGTTAGTTAATAAATATTGAATGCAACAATCCATCTGCTCTTCTCTTGACTTTTAAGTTTAGAATTCAGTTCTCTGTTGATCTTCGAGTAGATATCCGTTTTAACAATCGGGCTATGGGGAAGAAATTTAAGAACAATTTTCAGGAATGAACTGTTTAGACAGCATTCTTATACTATGTTGGGATGGTCAGGGTAAACGAGGTGCAGGTTAGCAGCAGCCCACATTATTGCTGTGGAACCATGAAGTATACTCCTATCTCTCTTAATTCCACAATCAAAGAACTTTTTAAAATTTACAATCTTGTCACTTAGGTAGCAGAACCTAGGCAGCCTCCTGCAATGGTCTGCTATGTTCATTTTCTGACTAATTTTAGAGAGGGTACAAAAACAGACATTAAGCTCCAAATTAATGTAGGCAAGGGTCCTAATGCAGTTGCCTGGAACACTTGAATATTATTTGAGCTATTATGACATGAGACTTATTTCAGAGAAATTTTATCACATTAGATATTGTACTGAGAAAATTAATCCTTTTTTTTGACCATTTCAGAACTGATGAAGATCAACAGCCAGAAACATTAATTCTCTTTCCCTCTCGTGATGCTACCTGATCTGACTGTTTCTAACATTTTCTGTTTCTGATTGAGATTTCCAGCACCTACAGTATTTGAGTTGAAGGTGACTCAATTAGAATCATAGAGATATATAGCATGGAAACAGATCCTTTGCACCAACTCGTCCATGCCGACCAGATATCCTATATATTTGCCAGCATTTGGCCCATATCCCTCCAAACCCTTCCTATTCATATACCCATCCAGGTGCCTTTTAAGTGTTGTAATTGCCTCCACCACTACCTCTGGCAGCTAATTCCATACATGCACCACCCTCTGCATGAAAAAGTTGCCCCTTCGGTCCCTTTATATCTTTTTCCTCTCACCTTAAACCTATGCCCTCTAGTTTTGGACTCCCCCACCCCAGGGAAAGGACCTTGCCTATTTACCCTATCTATGCCCCCTCATCATTTTATAAATCTATAAGATCGCCCCACAGTTTCTGACGCTCCAGGAAAAATAGCCCCAGCCTATTCAGCCTATAGCTCAAACCCTCCAACCCTGGCAACGTCATTGTAAATGTTCTTCAAGTTTCACAACATCCTTCCTATAGGATTTGCTACAGAATGTATGATTATGTGTCCCACCATACGAATTATATTGTGCTATTCATTCTTTTCAAAACTTCTTCTAAATGTTGATCTGTTTGTTTTCCAGCTGAAGGTGAAAGATGCTGAAATTCAAGCAACAAAAAGTAAAAACGAACAGAAACTTGGGCAGATTGAATCCTTCAGAAACATTTCTGTTGACAAGCCACAGGTGAGACCACTGAAAGGCTAGCATTTCTGTCCCTATTCCCACTCCTTCTGCCCTTCTGTTCTACAGGCAGCAACTGTTACTAGATAAGAATTCCCTGGGTACCACTTCCAAGTGGTTGCTCCCCACCTTTAAGTTGAGACAGCATTGCATTCAGATTTTAAGCTTGTAGATAGTGGGCTGGCTTTAAGTTTTTGATAAAGTTGAGATTTTTATTGCAATGCTGGCCACACTATTTTAATCTGACATCTATTGCACTGATGCTTTTTCACTGTAACCAGTTCGTATTAGGCCTAGCTGTTAATGCACCTCTTGTATATAATAGATATTGAGGGTTATGAATAAGCTGTGCACAGACAAGTTCATTGCGATTTTCAGTGCTGATGAAGTTCACAACATGAAGTTGGATCCAGCACAGAGCAAAATATTGTAGCAGTATATCAACTTTAGTGAGTCCTGTAAACTGAAGAGCAATGTGCTCAGCTCTTTATTGGAAATGTATCCTAGAGCCATCATTATGGTGGTCCACAAGTAAATTTGAATGGTTACAGTTAATGATAATTGTTTCTTGAATTTGGCTTTGAAGTAGAGACTCTGCGAAGCCTCATGTCTTATACCAAGCCTTACAAAGCCAGTGTTGCCATTGGGAACGAGACTTTACCAGGATTTACTACACTTGATCAGGACTCGATGTACAATTGGTAAACCAGTTCATACCAAGTATACCAGTCCAACAGGTGGAATTGCGTCCTGTCTGGATATCCAAATTGAGGTGTGAGCACTGAATAGCAATTGAAAAAGTAGATCATCGTGGGGGAAGTGGCTACTATTTGTGAAGAGATTCTTGAGGCATCAAAATAAGGTTTTCTTTTAGTGCCATCCACGTGAACTCTTGACAGATCCCTCTTCTCTTTCTGTCTACATTGGTCTTTGCTGCTTCGCTGTGCAAATTCATGAGTAGACGTGGTCCTGTGTGGTACAACTGCTAAGGATTGCACCCACGTAAGTCTAAGTATTCTGAGCCTCTTAAGAATTTGGGTTATATAACAAAAGTGTAACAACAATCGACTGCCTGTACTGCCATTGCAATAACTTGTTTTCAAAAGCTGATTATTTATAGACACCTTCTTTTCCCAGAGTCCAAGGACGCCTTATGTTTCTGTTAGATCCTTTGAGTCACAACAAGAGAAACTAGATGATCGAAGGGCATCCGAAGCCACCTTAAAACTGTTATTGAGTGAGTTGGAAGCAGAAAGGTCAGCCAAGAATGAACAAATTCTACAACTGAAGGTAACACAGTGGGGGCTTATGTTCATTATTGAGCTTTGTTATAAAGCGAAGGTCGACCCCCTTCTGATAACTAAAACCGAAACACCCAGACAGGCTCGCCTCGCCCTATAATCTGTTAAAAGAAATGTGAAAAGTGGTATAACGTGCCCGTTCACCCTCAATCTGTTATAAAGGAGTGGTGAAATGAAATAAACTCCTCATACTCACTCTATAATCAGCAAGTAACAATTTATTTATCCAAGTCTAACAGTGAACAAATTAACTAAACAATTTCCCTCTATCTACCAACTATTCCCGAATAAAACAAAATTCTAATAGTATGCTGTTCCAATAAATACAAGTCCCACTTGTGTAAACCAAAATTAAAAAAATTAGAATTTAATCTCTCGAAATTACAGCCAGGTTGCGCCTTCCGGAACGTTCTATGTCTTCGTTGATCTTCTTTCAGGAACGCCTTCTCCGTCAAATTCTTTTGTCAGAAATATTAACTAAGAGTGCCACGGTACGTTTATTTAGACGATGCTTTCTCCATGAGTTGAGAGAGCTGATCTCTTAGCAGGTGGCAGGTCGCTCCCTGCTGATTTTGTAACTGCTCCTGTTTTTTATACCCTTGATGACATATTAATTTCTTAAAATAGGATTGGTCCTGTGTTGTCAAAACCATCAGACGGTCTTCGCGATTTCTGTTTTTGCCAAGTTTATGACCAACTTTGCCTTCCATAATCTCTGAAAGAGCTATGCTAAATGCTCCATGTGATTTTTTTCCACAAATGCCTAAAGATCACTAAGTCATCTATACAGATGACACAATTAGTCAATCCTGCCACAACTCTGTTCGTAAGGCTTTGAAAAGTGACTGGTGCGTTTTTCATTCCAAAGGGCATTACTTTAAATTGATAAAGCCCATTTGGGGTTACAAAAGCAGAAACTTCTTTTGCTGTCTCCAGCAAAGGTACTCGCCAGTAACCGTGAAATAAGTCCAATTTTGTGATGTAAGTGGCTTATCCGACTTTTTCCACACAGTCCTTTAGCCTTAGAAATGGGTATGAGTCTGATTTGGTCACAGCATTGACCTACTGATAATCTATGCACAATCGTTGAGTACCGTCAGGTTTGCGAACCAACACGATTGGCGAACTCCACTCGCTTTGACTTCGCTTTATGATGTCTTCTTGGAGGATCACTTCCACTTCCTTCTGAACCTGTGCTGTTTTAAGAGAATTAAGCCTGTAGGGGTGTTGTTTTATTCAACAGCATTTCCTATGTCGACCTCATGTACTATAGTATTAGTCCTCCCCGTTCTGTTTCTGCACAGGTCCTCATAGCGCTGCAATGAGTCTTTCAATTCACTTCTGTGTTCCTGGGACAGATAGCTCGCTAGCCTATCCCGTTCTTTAAGAGCTTTCTCATTATTCAACTTATTCTGAAGCACATCAAAATCCAAATCATCTGGATTTGTTTCCTCATTCTGAGTGGCAGTAATTAATACCTGTTTCTCCGGCTCTCTTTCTGTGTCTTAGTAAATATTTCAGCATGTTCACATGACATGGCCGATACATTTTTTTCTTATCTGGCATCTTTACCAGATAATTCACCTGATTTAACTTCTCAATCTGATAGGAATCACTAAACCTTGCTTTGAAGGGATCTCCTACCACTGGTAACAGCACTAATTCTTTATCCCCAGTTGCGAAGGTATGAATTTTAGATTTCTTACCTGCTTCTTGCTTCATTAGATGCAGTGCCACCATCAAATGTTGTCTAGCTAATTCACCTACTCTGTTTAATCTTTCTCTCACCTCAGATAGATAATCCAACTGTAAGATCCCTGACTTTGGACCTATCAGCTTTTCCGTAATTAATTTTAAATTCCTCTTACTTCATGTCTGAATATCAATTCATACGGAGTAAAGTGAGTCGATTAATTTGGAGCATCGCTAATACCAATTAATATAAATTTATAATAAAATATAAGCCTTTATTCCAATCAGTTGTATAATCCTGGCAATAAGTCCTTAGCATTGTCTTTAGGGTCTGATGCCACCATTCCAATGCTCCCTGGGATTTAGGATGGTAGGCACTTGATTTGAAGTGTTGGGTGCCTAAACTATCCATGACCTCTTTAAGTAAAATTGGACTGTTGGCCTGACTGAATCTCCTTGGGTAGTCCACGATGGATAAAGAAAGCAAGCAACTCCTCCACAGCCTTCTGCCTTGACATTCCGTAATGGAATTGCCTCTGGAAATCTTGTAGACACATCCATTATGGTTAGCAAATATTGGTTCTCACTTTTAGTTTTAGGGAGGGGATCTACACAATCAAACTTAACCCATGTGAAAGGTTCTTCAAATGCGGGAAATGGTATCAAGGTTATTACTGACTGTGCCTTTCCTACACTCTGACACGTATAATGGGTATGGCAAAATTCACCCACATCTTTATGTGATCCAGGTCATTAGAAATGGTTCAGTATTTTAGCCTGAGTCTTCCTCACTCCTTGATGACCTCCTACAGGTAATTTGTGTGCTACCCACAATACTTCCTGTCAGTATGCTACCAGCAACACAATCTGGTGAAAAGTCGCTCATTTCTCCTCTGCACTAACCAACCAAGGTCTCCATTTCCGACTTCAGATTTTCTCCTGAAGGTAATAACATTCTGGAATACACTCTGATTCCTTTTCTGAGTAGGCTTTATGATATAAGTCTTCTATTGTCTCATCTTTTTGTTGTAACTCCATTAATCTTTCAGAACTAAATACCTCTGCCTGACCCTCTACCTGCTCAGGTTTCTCCTTTACAGTTTCATCAAACAGGGTGTCAGCTAACTGGACCTCCACTCCTTCATCTTTCTCATTTGTTTTCCCTTCTTGTTTTAGCTTACGGCTGTGGGATCTTGTCACCACACAGACCGGAAAAATTCCAGGGTATTTTCCTTTTAACTCCTCAGTTCCCTGGTTTACTTTCGTCTTAACCACAACAATGGGGACCACTCCTACCTTTTGATCCAGCTATTTCGTTTCCTAGAACAAACTGTATTCCGGGGATAGCCACTCTTTCCATCATTCCCACTATCACTTCCCCAGTCTTGATTGGACTTTCTAGCCTTATCTTACACAGGGGAACACTAATTCTGTCTCCATTTCTTCCACAATTTATCACTCTGTCAGGCAACATTTCAGAAGGAGTGCAAATGCTTTCATCTTTCTCTATTAGAGACTGACCAGCTCCTGTATCTCTCAATATTTTAACTTCTTTACCTGCTCCCCAAGACTAGGCTGTGCACTCTCCTGCAGCTCCTTGACTTCTGTTGGGATTTCCTTCACTACTTCAAGTAATCTCACAGGTTTAGCCTGTTCCACCACACCCTTTTTCCCAGTGCCTCTCTTAAACCACCAGCACTGTGACTTTGTGTGTCCTACCTTATTGCAGTGAAAACACCTGAGGTTTTTCACCTCTTTTCCACCCTCTTGGGCTTTTTTTTTTCACATGTGGTGAACCCATTGGATCTACTTTTTGTTTTTCGTTGAAGGATCTCCGTCTTTCCCAATTTCTGTCCCTCATGGGAATGAAATTGCGGTTGGAAGCTAGATTTTGATTTATGCGATAATGCATATTCATATGCCATCTCTCTAGCTGTTGTCACTGTTTTAACTTTCTGTTCCTCAACATGAGTTCTTATCACTTCTGGAAGTGAGTTTTTAAACTCCTCCAGCAGAGTAACATCTTAGAGATCCTCATATGTCTTTTCTACCTTTAATGCTCTCACCCATCCATCAAAGTTGCTCTGTTTAAGTCTTTCAAACTCAATATAAGTCTGACCTGCCAACTCTCTGACACCTCGTCCTACCGCCCCCTTGAAAAAAATCTGACCCCACTACCAAAGACATTTTTCCCTCCCCACCCTTATTTGCTTTCCAGGGGGACCACTCTCTCCGTGACTCCCTTGTCCGCTCCACACTCCCCACCACCCCCGGCACTTTTCCCTGCAACCGCAGGAAGTGCTACACATGCCCCTACACCTCCCCCCTCACCCCCATCCCAGGCCCCAAGAAGACCTTCCACATCAAACAGATGTTCACCTACACATCTGCTAATGTGGTATACTGTATCCGCTGTTCCCAATGTAGAGGAGGCCACATCAGGGAAACCAAGCGGGGGCTTGGGGACCGCTTTGTGGAACACCTACGCTCGGTTTGCGACAAACATCTGCACCTCCCAGTCGCGAACCATTTCAACTCCCCCTCCCACTCCTTGGATGACATGTCCATCCTGGGCCTCCTGCAGTGCCACAATAATGCCACCCGAAGGTTGCAGGAACAGCAACTCATATTTTGCTTGGGAACCCTGCAGCCCAATGGTATCAATGTGGACTACACAAGCTTCAAAATCTCCCCTCCCCCGACCGCATCCCAAAACCAGCCCAGCTCGTCCCTGCATCCCTAACCTGTCCTTCCTCACACCTCTCCACTCCTCCCACCTCAGGCCCCACCCCCTCTCCTACCTACCAACCTCATCCAGCCTCCTTGATCTGTCCATCCTCCCTGGACTGACCTATCCCCTCCCTAACTCCCCACCTAAACTCACCTTTATTGGCTCCAACCCTGCCTCTTTGAACTGTCTGTATCCTCTCCACCTATCTTCTTCTTTATCCATCTTCCATCCGCCTCCCCCCTCTCCCTATTTATTTCAGAATCCCCTTCCCCTCCCCCATTTCTGAAGAAGGACCTAGACCCGAAACGTCAGCTTTCCTGCTCCTCTGATGCTGCTTGGCCTGCTGTGTTCATCCAGCTCCACACCTTGTTATATAAGTCTGACCTGGTTCCTTTCTTATTTTTCTGAACCATTGTCTGTATGCTTCTGGTACCAATTCGTAGGCAATCAAAGTAGCCTGGTTTACGTCATCATAGTCTCCTGACACCACCTCTGACAATGCTGCAAACACCTTACTAGCCATGCCTACTAAAATGGCCTGAATTATCGTCTCTGGCCAGTTAATCTATTCAGCTAGTTTCTCAAAGGAAATGAAAAAGGCTTCTACATCTTTTTCATCATGTTTTGATAATGTTTTGACATATTTGTATATATCTCTACCAGGTCTTTGGCTATGATGGGTTTGCTCATCATCGTCATCATCCTCCTCCTCACTAAGCCTATCTTCTACCTTTATTTCCATCATTTTGAGTGGGCTATCTTGTCTAATTTCCAACTTCTGAAGTTGAGACTCTGTCTCTTTTTCTTTATCATGTTCAAACTGCTTCATCTTTTCCAATTCGAACATTCTTTCCCCTTCTTTATCCACTAACTCCACTGCACTTGACAGTTTCTCCGGTTTACCTAAATACTTGACTAACTCTATGACAATTTCAACTTTCTTCTTATCCCCAGTTAGACCCAATTTTAGCCTGTCTGCTAATTCTAAAAGTGTCCGCTTTTTCTGTCTTTCCAGACTTTCTTGGCAAATTTGGGAAGTATCTTCAACCCCCAACTTTGTAACAACCTACATAAATTAAAAATGTGGTTTTAGACACTTGCTTGGTAAAATGGTTTTATGTAAGTGTTTTGTATATCAAATAGCTGACCATTCAGACCAAAGCTAGGCATATAGACTGTTGACGTTTCGGGCCTAGACCCTTTCTGAGGAAGGGTCTAGGCCCGAAACGTCGGCTTTCCTGCTCCTCTGATGCTGCTTGGCCTGCTGTGTTCATTCAGCTCTACACCTTGTTATCTCAGATTCTCCAGCATCTGAAGTTCCTACTATCTCAGATAGACTGGTTTTGGAATTTCATTCCTACTAATCCAAAACTGGCTACGGTAAAATGAATATGAAGTTGCCTGTCAACTAGTTTACTTCCCAGAATGTTCAGGTGTTGCTTCCAGAATGGAAATTGAATCGTCTGGAGAGAGAGGAACTGGCTAAGGAGTAACTTAACCTCTCCAGCTCTCTTCCTTCCTTTAAGGGTGGAACTCTAGGGCTTGGAAGCTTTGCAGCTGAAGGCACAGTCACCCTTGGTAAATAAATGAAAATTGAGGTGTGCAAGAAGCCAGAATGTAAGACATGCAGACATTTGAAGGTTGTAAATCTGGAGCACATTAGAATTGTGAAGAGGTGTAGCCATGCAAAATTTCTGAACAAGGGTGAGATTGTACATCATGAAAAGTGAACCTAATGTTCCACTGAAGTTTTAGAGGATGTACAGGTGTGAGTTACTGACACATGTTTATTTGGGTTCTAAACTGCAACTGAGAAGCTTTGGAATATTCCAACAATACTCTTCTTTATTCATATTGGTACAGTGCCACCTCTGACTTAAAGGCTTGAGTATTCAGATTTCAATCCAAGATGTAAGCACATAATCAATACAGACCAAGGGAGTGCTGCATTGGCGTAGATATCGTCAATCCAATAAGATGCTAAACTGAAATCTTGTCCTGTCCCTATTAATCAAACGAATGTGAGTGATTCCATGCCATTATTTAAAAATAGCAAGAAGCTTTTGGGGCACCAAACAACATTTTTCATTCAACCAGAACCAGCAAAACTAATCCCTCACCTCTTGGTCTGTGGGGTTGTGTTGTGTGCCTAGAAGTCAAAGGTTACTCCATTTTTTAATAAAAAGTCAGGAAATGTTTTGTGCTTATCTTGAAGAAAGATGCTATTTTCAATCTCATTCCTCACACTGAAGGAGATACTACCTGTTTTGTAAATGCTTCCAAGAATGATGCCATCCAATACCATGTAAAAATGAGTAAAATGGTCAGTCAGTGCTAGTGGGCAGCTTGGCTACATCTGGATTACACTCCTTGAAAGATGTTTAGGCAGAATTTCAACAATGATCACAAACTTCAAATAAATAGAGACTTAGTTGGCTTTTCGTTTTAAATTCCTTTATACAGATTTTGACTGTTAGCCTAATTATAGTGTCTTGGGTGCTTAATTTTTAGACCAGACCTTGAACCTACATTATACTGCGGCTCTACATACCACCAGTATATTTATCAACTAAACCACTGAGAAATTTTAGACTTGTCTGACTTTTCATTTTCTATAAATTTCATAGTTAATGAGCCTGCACTTAGTATCAACAGTCATAGTTTTTGATGCAAGATTTCCGCTTCAGTTGTCTAACTCTTTAACCATTTAAAGTAAGAATTGAAAATTGTGTGCCTCATAGAAGCATTATGCAAGTTTAGAGGGCTTAAACTAAGGATTTTTAACACTTCTCCTTAAGGCTTGCCTGGTTTTGTTTGTTAGTTTGGATTTTTATATGAAAATAATAAGCCATGTATTGGATTCTTTAATATAGATCAGAGACAATGGCTATAATCCTGAATTCATCATTGAGGTCATAAAGATAGTTTTCTAGCTATCACGAGTAAATTCAGTAGTGTCATTTAAATTAGCAATTGAAACATGTGGTCAATGGTATTGTTAGTGGAATGTTCTGTAGTTGACTATGGAGTGATGAATACTTCCAATAGACTTTAAAAAAAGTTAGTTATAGAAAAATTTACTTTCACAATAGAATTATACTAATGGGAAAATGTACGTGTAACCTAATGTATTTTACAAAGAATTTCAAGGTTTACATGTAAACTTTATTTTTTAATTTTCTAGTTATTTAGATTTCGGTTGTCAATCTGCAGCTGATCTGTTTTTGGCAAATTTAATCAACTGGGAATTTAAAATATGTGTAATATTCTGGCACTTCTCCTTCTGACACTGCCTTAATGATAGGCATTTATACCACTGCCAACTGGAGCCATATCTCCTGAACCTGGAAACAGTAATAGATTTCAGCCTGAAATCTGTTTGAAAATTCACTGTTGACCCACATGTAGGTCCTTTTGAAATGTACAGTTTTAAGTCTTGGAAAACAGATAATGAAAACCAAATTTGAAAATTTTTGACTATTTTTCCCCTCCTTTGTCCATCCAAAACCATTCTAGAGCCAGTTATGTGAATCAAAGAATCTGCGTTTGGAAATGGATGCTTTGGAGAAACACTGTCGGAATTTGGAAAGCTCTCTAGAAAAAACACAGAGAAGGTACAACTCTATTATACTGTTAAGTTTACAACAACCATTTTTATTAAAAAACTGCAATTTTAAAACTTTGAGCCCAGATGCAACGAGCTTTTATTTTACAATGTACCACCTCATCTTTCACTGTAAGTATAATACATTCTCATCTATTCTGGAGTGAATTTACTCTTTGAAGCAATAATTAGTTGATGGTGCTTAGAAATGTTTTGGCTTGCTGGTGGGTATCAGTTGCCCTATCTCATGCAGTTGACCCTGTTCTTTCAGGTTAGGTCTTCACATTTTGGAGGGCGTATTTTTAAACAGCACTTCTAAAAACCAATGTGAACAAATGTTCTTGTAGCATACAATAATTCTTTTTTAAAATTGTCATGGTATTTATGACTGTCAGTTTTAATAAACGTAAAATATGTTGCCTCCAAAAAAATGCAGGATGTTACTAATCAGTAGCTAATGTGGCGATAGATCTGCAGAAAAACCAGATATCTTTCAGCATTTTAGTATGTTTACCGGATAGGCTGCATAACTAAACATGCGTCTATATGAACATTTAATATCAAAGAATAATGCTGTGGTTTTGACCTCTCATAACTGTAGATCTGATGTCTTTTTACTGAACCCTGAGGTCCATTGTTCCATTCAATTCCTTTCCTTGGAACATCCCTTTTTATGTGCTATGATATTTCTTTGAGATAACCACTCATGGATGCACTACTTGTCCCCTGTCTGGCAAACTTTGGCTTGCTACATACTTGTGCATTTTAGAGGGACCCAAAGTAAAACACTGCAGATGCTGGAAATCTGAAATAAATACAGAAAATATTACAAATATTCAGCAAGTCTGGCAGTATCTGTGAAACAGAATTAGCATTTTATTTTTGTGATCTTTCATCTGGATGAAATTTAATTTCAAGGGCTTTTGGAAATGGGCAATAAATGATAGTCGCACCAGCAATGCTCAGATCCCATGAGTAAATAAACAATAAATGAAATTAGAATGGTTACTAATAGGCTTTAGTTAACATAAAATTACTGAAATAACCAACTGGACGCTTCCTTTTTTTTAATTAGTCACTTTCAGATCAGCTAGATTTTATGGTTCATGTTTTCTTTCGTATGACATAATTAAATTAAATTTGTTTGGATATTTTATAAAGTGGCAATGTAACCAACCAGGAGGATCTGAATGATGTTGAGAAGAAATTAAAAGAAGAAATGAAGGCCAAGGTATTCCTAAATTCTTATTACATTTTGGTGTAGCAAAATTGGATTCAAAGTTGCGTGTAAATTTATTCTTCAGTTGTGCTTACAAATAAGCAGAGTGCCAGGCTATCAATGAACAACTTGTAAGCATTATAATTGTTTTTGTTATACTTTGTCACAATGGCTAGACTACACATCCTGAAAAACAAAATTTGTTCCAGCTTATTGTAGTTACAAAATTGAGTTTCTTGATTTTGAAATTGCAGGAAGCAGCATTACAAAAGCTAGCCGCTGTGGAAACTGAGTAAGTAGATAATTTTCATTTTAATATAACCATAACATGAAATTTGCCCAGCTCAGTTGATCAGTCTCCATATGAATCAAAAATACAGACCTGAAGATATCTGGTTTGATCTGCACTGTTATTTGATGAACATCAGTGTTCAGGGTTTCTGCGAATAGTCTGAGGGATAATGATCCTAAAATTAGATTGCTTCATCCCTGACCTAGAAACGGAAAGCCCATCAGGGTTGCTATCGAATGACATCTGCTGGGAATTACATATGTGTCGACATTATGTGAACATAAGAATGTGACTAAACTTATGGACCCTCAACCTGCTCTGCCATTATAGATCATGGCTGATGATCTACCTCAGTGCCATGAAGTTATGATTCATCTTACCATCCGTGAAGGCTGGTAAACTGTCTGGCCTTGATAGGTAGGCTACTCGTGCTTTGGAATCATATTTACATATATATTGCTCTCAGTAGAGAAGACCGATATTGGTGATGGGGAGGGCATTTAAATCAGCAAATATTTGTGTGCATTGGGAAAACAACTCCAACCCTCCAACTTCCAGGATTTTCATGACGTGACTAGAGTGAGCAGCCCTTCAGGAGCACAAGAATGAGAATAAACCATTCGGCCCCTCAAGCCTGCGCTGCAATTCTAGATCATAACTGATGATCGATCTCAATGCTATTTTCACATCCTATTCCCATGTTCCTTGATGTAATTACTATCTAGAAATCTATCAATATCTATCTTGAACTACAAAATATCACGTTTTCCACAGCCCTGTAGGGCAAATATTCCAAAATTTTACTACCCTCTGAGTGAAAATATTCCTCCTCATCTCAAGCCTGTAGCTTATTCTGAGGAAAGGACTAGGTTGGCATTTTAAATTCACTAAAGCAGGAATCCTTTGATTCAACTTGCTTTGTAGGCTTAACGGTGGTGGACTGGGTTTTCCATGACTCAGTAAATTGGCAGCTCCAGCAAGGTGTGGACAGTCTTGGGGAGAAGGAAGGTGCCTGCTCAGCACCTAGCTTAGGTATAAGACTGGCTAGGTCCTGCGGTCTCTTCCATAGTCATGCTCATTGCCTACCTGGAAGCCAGGTCTGTTGGACTGATTTTTGGATAAGGAACCTGTCGAGGAGAAATTATGCACACTGTGGAGCATTAGAAAGTAAGTTTTCCTGCTGTGCAGTGATAAGAAGGTGCAATCAAGCTTTAAAACTGCTCATAATTGCAGCAACTCATCAAGGCTCCTTTAGCAGCACCTTGCAAATGTGAGAACCCCTATATACAAGGCCAAAGATACCAGATGAATGCAAGTTAACCACCGCACATCATCCTGACCTGGAACTCTGTCACTGATCCCTCACTGTTGCTAGATCAACATCCTGGAACTCCTTTCTGAACAGCACTCTTGGTGTCCCTACACCCCAAGGACTGAAACAGTTCAAGTAGGCAGCTCACCACCATCTTCTCCAGTGCATTTAAGGATAGTCTAACCAAAAAGAACGAATAATTTTTAAAAAAGGATCTTTTCCATTATCAAAAGTATTTTGGTAATTGTTGAGTATTTTTAAAGATTTCCTGATGGTTATTTCCCTCCATGTTCCAAGTTGGTTCTGTTTTAAGATGGATGGTTTGTTTCCTCAGCTATCTCCCCCTTCTCCTTTCTGAAGGTGTGGTGTTGATTCTTTCTAAGACATAATTTTGAATTCAGCTAAGTACATTGAACTATTCATTTTGAGCATCAGAATGCCTATTGACCACTGAGGCCTCACAAATCATACTGCCTCCAAATGGGTTTATTTAGGCCTGAAATCTAAGAAAAGCATGGCTGATTTTTTTTCTTTTCCCCACCACCAATTCTCCTAACCCACAGCAGTGAGGCTAACCAGTATCCTGACTGCTTCTCCAGCTGAGATTCATGATTTTGGCACTTAAGAAATGTGTGTCTAATCGTGTTTGTATTGTACGAGATGAAATAATGCATTTATCTATTAAGAAATTATTCACTTAATTCTGTTCTCTGCTGACATCACTACAGAGTTCTTCATGTCACCCTTTCTTAGAAATGAAGTACACAAGATGAAAATGATTAAAGAAATGACTTGGCAAAATAGCTTTATATACAGCGCAAACTTTTTTTTAAAGATTAGGAAAGTTAATGTAGCCCTCGCAATTACACTTGTTAAATTGTAAATACAAATCTCTTCCATCTATAGATTAACGGAGAAAAGAACAACTCTGGAAACTATTCAGTGGTCAATTAAAGGGTTTCAGGAAGAAGTGGAGCGGACCAGAAGTTTAGAAGCAAAAGCTTTTAGTGATAAAGAAGAGTTTCGGTCAGCATTCGAATCTGCTTGTGAAGAGAAAGAGAGACTTATTTGGGTAATGAATAAATGAATTTGTCAAGTTGAGAGCATAGAGAGATGAAAATGGCAGATTGGATGGATTCACTTGAGATTAAATAATTTTAAATTACAGAAAGAGGGGAAAAGAAACTTGATAGCATGAACTTTTTCCAAGACTTTGCCATTTTAATTTGCCAAGTCTTTGAGCTGGGTGGATTGGAAGAAGAACTGACAAACAACGTTTAATCTCTTGATTGAAATATTGGCAAAGATCTGTAGCTCACGTTGTGGATGAGGTTGTTGACTTGTTTGCGAGCTGGCTTGTTTTTGTTCAGGCGTTTTGTCACTGTGTTAGGTGACATGATCGGTGGAGCCTCCGATGAAGCGATGTTATTCTACTCCGCTTGGAATTTATACTGTCCAGTCCATTATGGTGAGTACTATCATTTCCAGTTTTGATCTGTATGGGTTTGTATATGGGCTCCAATTCTATGCATTACGGGTGGAGAACCATTCCTCTAGGAATTCTTGTGCATGTCTGTGTTTGGCTTCGGCTACTATGGTTACTTTGTCCCAGTTAAACTGATGGCCTTTATTGTCTGAATGTACAGATATTAAGGAGAGTTCATCGTGCCGTTTTGCTGCTAGCTGATGTTCATGTATTCTGATGGCTAGTTTCCTTCCTGACTGTCCGATGTAATGTTTGTGGCAGTCGTTGCATGGCATTTCGTAAACCACGTTGGATCTGCGTGTTGTGGGAATGGGGTCTTTAACCCCTGTAAGTGTTTGTCACAGAGTGGATGTGGGCTTGTGGGCCACCATGATTCCTAGTGGTCTTAGGAGTCTCATTGTCAGTTCCGATATGTTCCTGATGTAGGGAAGTGTGGTAAGTGTGTTATGTTGTACTGTGTCCTCCTGTTGTTGTCACCACACCACTTACCAGTTTAACTGGGACAAAGTAACCATAGTAGCCCAAGCCAAACATAGACACGCACAGGAATTCCTAGAGGCACGGTTCTCCACCCGTAATGCAATTAACAAACACATAGAATTGGATCCCATATACAAACCCATACAGATCAAAACCGGAAATGACAGTACTCACCATAATGGACTGGACAGTATAAATTCCAAGTGGAGTAGAATAACATCGCTTCATTGGAGGCGCCACTGATGATGTCACCTAACATGGTGACAAAATGTCTGAACAAAAACAAACCAGCTCAGTGAGCAAGTCAACAACCTAATCTTTTGATGTGATATCTGATGTATTGATTAGACCTTCTCAGATTTTTCTGGCCAAACTGTGGATTTTACATGTGATTCAATGAGTTATGCATGTAATTGCATACCAACTTTTAAAATATAATTCCGTCTAAATTCAGGTTATCATACAATTCACGTTTTAGCACTAAATTCCCTTTTTGTATCACAGTTCAAGTTATTGGATAATTCTAATTTTGGCACAAAACAACTTGTAATTATCAGAAGACTAAATAATACATTATTCCTTGAACTATATTACATAAAATTTGGACAGTATACTTATTGTGGTGTTTTGGCACAATAAAATTTGATTTGAAGCTGTTGACATATTTTCAGATAGTTTGAGAAATTAATTTCTTTGAGATGTGCATAGAATCTGCACGAAGTGCATATTCAACAATTGAATGTCTTTTGGGAATGACTAGTGGTAAATGTAACTCACTTGCTTAACAGTAAATGCTGTTCACTTTCAGGAGATGCCTTCCAGAATTTGACTAAGTTTCAATATGGGGATTTCCTGCAATAAACTTTGTTTTAAAGTTATTGGGATTGTATTGAGAGAATTTTTAAAATAAATTCTCTATTGCCATATCTCAGACTATAAGATATTGCAGCAGAAGTAGGCCATTCAGCCTATTGAGTCTGCCGTACCATTCAATGGGATCATGGCTGATCTTGTAATCCTCAAGTCCACTTTCCTGCCTTTTCCCCCATTATCCTTGATTCCCTTAATGATCAAAAATCTTCCTGTCTCAGCCATGAATGTACTTAATGAGCCAGTCTCAATAGCCCTCTGCGGTAATGAATTCCACAGATTCACTGCCCTCTGAAAGAAGAAATTCCTCCTTATCTCTGTCTTTAATATGCATCCGCTTATTATGCCCTCTGATGCTGGACTCTCGAGAAGGGGAAATAAACTTTCTGCATCTACAGTGTCAAGCCCCCTAAGAATCATATGTTTCAATAAGGTTACCTCTCAATCTTCTAAATTCCTATTCCACAGGCCCAAACTACTTAACCTCTCCTCATAAGATCGTTCCTCCATGCCTGGTATCAGTCTAATGAACCTTCTTTGGACAGCCTCCAATGCCAATATATCTTTTCTTAGATAAGAAGCTCAAAACTGGCCTGCAGTATTCCAGCTGTGAGCTGACCAGCGCATTGTATACTTTTAGAAAGCTTCTCTACTTTTATACCCAATTGCCTTTGAAATTTATGCCAACATTTCATTTACTTTCCCTAGTTTTTTGTAATTCAAAGAACAAAGAAAATTACAGCACAAGAACAAGCCCTTTGGCCCTCCAAGCCTGCGCCGATCCAGATCCTCTATCTAAATTTGTTGCCTATTTTCCAAGGATCTGTGTCCCTCTGCTCCCTGCCCATTCATGTATCTGTCTAGATACATCTTAAATGACGCTATCGTGCCCGCCTCTACCACCTCCGCTGGCAATGCGTTCCGTGCACCTACCACCCTCTGCGTAAAGAACTTTCCACGTATATTTCCCTTAAACTTTTCCCCTCTCACCTTGAAATCATGACCCTTAGTAATTGAGTCCCCCACTCTGGGAAAAAGCTTCTTGCTATCCACCCTGTCTATACTTCTCATGATTTTGTAGACCTCAATCAGGTCCCCCCTCAACCTCCGTCTTTCTAATGTAAATAATCCTACTATACTCAACCTCTCTTCATAGCTAGCGCCCTCCATACCAGGCAACACCCTCATGAACCTCCTCTGCACCCTCTCCAAAGCATCCACATCCTTTTGGTAATGTGGCAACCAGAACTGTATGTAGTATTCCAAATGTGGTCAAACCAAAGTCCTGTACAACTGTAACATGATCTGCCAACTCTTGTACTCAATACCCCGTCCGATGAATGAAAGCATGCCGTATGCCTTCTTGACCACTCTATCGACCTGCGTTGCCACCTTCAGGGTACAATGGACCTGAACACGCAGATCTCTCTGTGCATCAATTTTCCCTGGGGCTTTTCCATTTACCATATAGTTCGCTCTTGAATTGGATCTTCCAAAATGCATCACCTTGTATTTGCCTGGATTGAACTCCATCTGCCATTTCTCTGCCCAGCTGTCCAATCTATCTGTATTCTGCTGCATTCTCCGACAGTCCCCTTCACTATCTGCTACTCCACCAATCTTAGAGTCATCTGCCATCGTCCAATTCATGGACGAGGCACCCAAATCCTTCTGCTGTGAAGCTTTCAGCAGTCTTTCTCCATCTAAATAATGTTCAACTCCTCTCCTCTTCTTGCCAAAGTGCATAACCTCACATTTTTCCACATTATATTCCATCTGCCAAGTTTTGGCACACTTGTTAAACCTGTCTATATCCCGCTGCAGACTCTGTGTCATCCTCACCACTTGCCTTCCCCCATATTTTGGTTTCAACTGCAAATTTACACACAACCTGCAAACGTATGCCAAATGGCCATTCCAGTCATTCAAAGCATTCATCTTAAGGTTTAATGATAATTGGATACATTATATCCCATAACTGAAATTGTACCAAGACTATAGATAAATTGAGTAGTTGATTATAACATAACAAAAATTGTAATAGTATTCATACTGTGTTTCTAAGTGATTTTACCTTTTTTAAATGAGCAAATATGATGGATGTTAGCAGTGAACAACACAATATTTTCTTTGTCAGATAATAATGTGGCCAGCTGCAGAGTAAGATGACTTTGTACACTGCTCTAATCTTGAGAAAACTCATCAATTTCTGACCTTGTATTTTTCCATTCCCAACTCCACTCTGCGTACACATCACCTTTTTGTGGCTTTTCTAAGTGAGACAGCAAATTAACTTCTGTTTCTCCATGTAGATCTATGCCCAGTAAAATTGGGTTCTTCTCACCCATCTACTTTAAAATCTCTCTTCATTTAACATCCTTAAAGCCACATTACAAGAAACTGTTTTGGACCCATGTAGGTATGGTCCGTAGCCAGATACCAAGTTCAGAAGCACAGTGCACTACCTATTTCATGTAGAAGCTTTATTAATTCTTTATTGTTAAACTGCAGGAGGTTGAAACTCTTAGGGTACAAGTGGCCAGCCTTACTGAAGAGAATGGTAAATTGGTCGGACACCAGAACTTGCAACAAAAAATACAGCATTTGGTTAAAGTCAAGAAGGAAAATGTTCGTCTCCTGGAGGTATGATATTTTAAATCGACAGGAAATTCTATATTAGATTTTGTTTCGGGATTATTATGTTCTGTTGGAAGTCACACAATGAGCACAATAAATAAGCAGTTTCATATGCTTTTTCTTCTCTTTCTCTTAATTCCAATTCCTATTGGTCAAATTACAAGCGTGTTTTTTTTTCCTGATACACTCTTGCCTACTTCTATGAAGACACTGACTGGCTAAAGTAGAGGCCAGTCAGTTCTGCCCAAATTTCTATCATTTACATGAAGAGCCTTTTCTGGGGCTAACTGATCACTGTAGGGCTGGGAGGAATGTGGAGGATATGTGTCGTCCAAGCCCAATTCTATTGATTGTCAATATTATTGTGAATATACATCAATGGAAAACTGTAAGGAGCAGGAATTCTGATTTTTCTTTTTCTTTCCCCATTTTGGTGTGCTGAAGCTAATTGGAGGACTAGCCCAACACGATGAGTTCAGTTCAACAGCACATAAGAAATATTAAAACTTTTGAACAATTGAAATTCACTTTGGCAAGATCCCCAAACTGGCAGGGTGTATTCATGACTTCCTAATCTTTTATGCGCACATCCTGCCCAAAGATTAACTTTTTGATTCTATCACAGATTAACATTTTTGTTCTATCATAAATTTATTGCCCAATTCAAATTGCCTTTGAGAAGTGGTGGTGAACTGCCACCCTGAACTAATGTAAGTAACGCACAGTGCTGCTGATTCTAGGATTTTGATTCCATGACGGTGAAGGAATAATGATATATTTCCGAGATAGGTTGGTATGTGGTTTGGAGAGGAGCCTGTAGGTTGTGTTCTGCCCATCTTTCTAGATGATAGGGGGCACAGATTTGAAAGGTGCTTCCTTGGTGAGTTGCTGTACTATATCTTGTATGTGGTATACACTGGTGTCACTGTGTATCAATGGAGTGCATGAATGTTGAAGGTGAAAGGAGTGCCAATAACGCAGAAAGGTGTTAAATCCTTTGAGTTTTGTTGGAGCAGCACTCATAGAGAAAAGTGGAGAGTATGCCACATTAGTTCTGACTTGTGCCCTGTAGATGGGAGTGGACATATTTGGGAAAGTGGGACGGACAGTAGTTACTTGCTGCATTATTACCAGCCCATGACCTGATCTTGTGCATGGCATATATGTTGTGGCCACATTGCTAGCTTCCCACTTGTGCTTTCTTTATATTCCTGTGGGACTTAATAAATTAGAATTAATCCATACCCACGTTCCTATTCTTGTACATTCAGATCCACTTTGCTGTGGCAAGTTTAACTGCTCCCATCCTGGGACAACATAAAACACTCTCTCAGCTGTCCCTTGCAGCTTAAGATATGTATTTCATGGCTATAGTATATATTACTTGCAGCTTAAGATACGTATTTCATGGCTATAGCATATATTACATTTTTATTTTTTGTTTTAATTTAGGAAGTAAACTTGCTGAAATTGGAGAACATGAAACTGAAAGAACTTAAGAAGCATGATACGAATGAATTTACTTGCCTGAGAATTTGTACGGAGGGAAAGCATGAAAATGTAGAGCAATAATGTGTAAATGTTATTTTTCTATTTTGAGTTCTAGTAGACAATTTCAAACTTGCTCTTTTTTTTAAAATCTGTCAACAGCAACCTGATTTGAAGTACCATATCATATTGTGCTTAAGGAAAACTGAGTTGAAATTGTTGAAGTAATGACTGTTGTGAACCTCATACTTGGGTATAGTTGCCTTCCAGAAAGGTTTTTTAAACTATTAACTTCAATTACTAATTGTTGAAGTATCTCTGAAGTCTCAACCTTATTGTGCTCTGTCTTCATACCCAATGAACAGTTCTTGTCAATTTTGCTACCATTAGATTATTGTCGTGAACTGTTCTTTATTTAGCATTGGTATCAAAATGTATTGTGATTTTATTTTTATACATCTTTACATGTTAATAGCTTTTTTCTTTTGATTTGAGAGGAGAGATTTTAAACTTGGAGAGTAGATTTCGATCAGGTTGATCTACTAGAATAACTTGCAGTCAGGATTTGGCAAACTGTCAAATTCAAATTTACCGAGCAGTCACCGGAGTAACCTTTGTGACCTTCCATCCTCCTATTTCTGTGATAATTTTCAGATTGCTGCAGTTCTCCAACTTGAAGTCCTGAATTTTCAGCGCAGCACTCCTGACTTCTGATTTATGCAAATAAAATCTTTTACTGGGCTTGCCTGGTTTTTCTTGAATTTCACCCCATATTTCTCCTCCTGAAAATGATAGGTGTGAGAGTATAATTATGAGAGCTAGCAGCTCTATACAACCCTGAATGGATGTCTGATATCTGACCATAGTGAGTATGTGGGAAAGTTCTGCCCAGTTTTCGTCTGTTTCATTTCCGCCACTGTTGCACAAAATCCAAGGATTTAAGGCTAATTATAGCACCCTGTTGTGAACTTGTTTGGGACCTACTAATTTTCATAAATTAAGGAATCAGAATAGTAGAATGCTGAGCATGAATATTTCTGAAGCAGAAAGTATGTGTATATGTAGTTAAATATTCTTGTATAAAAATGTTAAAACAATGTGGGGTTATCATTGGCTGTCATTTTGTGAACTGATGACAGACAAAAATGCCTCCTACCTCTCATACAGAAACAAACAAGCAATTGTGTGAACTAACCTCAGGACTTCTCAACTGGTTCATTGTTCACCTCCATCAGATAAATTTAAATGAGCAAAAGGTTTAACAGCATTTTTCATTACATTCCTCATTCCATATAATGTGAAGCCAGAAACAACTGTATTTTTTATGAGTCACTTAAGTCAGATCTAAGTGCATCTGCCCAATTGGATTTCATGCTAGGTTTATTATCTTGGTTGTAATGTCTGTGGGAGCAATGCCAAATAGAAGCCAAGCACTTTTGATGACGGAGAGGGGAAGCATCAATGTGATTCATGTTTGCTGCCTGATTGGTATTTCTCAGCTGAAACAAGAACAAAGCACATTATTGTTCAGATCTTAAAGGAGTAATAGAGCATTGTATGTACATACCTAAAAAAGAGAGATGCACATTTCAGCACATTGCCAATGGTATATGACCAATCTGTACACAATAAAAGTATATTGATTCTTTTTTTTTAATTGAACTTCTGAAATGAAATTTCCTCTAATTTTAAAGGAATAATGATGAGTATGGCAGTAATGTGTCTTTGCACTTGCAAGTCAGATGTGTGTATTCTGGTCTGGCTAGCAAATTTGGGCAAGGACTGAAGTCGATAATTGCTCAGTTATTTTGTCTTCAAATAGGTGAGATTGTGCAAGACTGTGGGAATAATTTGTGACTGATGTAAGACGGTGGATTCTAAACAGCGTTGATGAACACTGAAAGGGATCCAGTTTCTTTGAAGACTTCTAATGGAATTTTAAAAAAGGAGTCCAGGTGTACTAAGTCCAGCAATTCACCGTTCTTGTTGGTCACACAATGTAATTAAAATGGCAGCTCAAACTGTAAATGAGTTTTTAAAAGTTATTATGTACTTTGTCTTTTGTCTATTGTGTCAACTGTATGTAGAATTAATTTTACTATACTAATTTTATCTAGTTTAGGATTTATTTGTTTCACTGATTAAAGACTAGTAAGATTGGATATCTTGCCTTGTCTTGAAAATATTTAACTTTTTGATCAAGACGCAAAGGAGGGAGGTGATGGTTTAGTGGTATCATTGCTGGTCTGTTAATGCAGAGACCCAGATAATGTTCTGGGAACCTGGGTTCGAATTCCGCAATATCAGATGGTGGAATTTGAAATCAGTTTTTTAAAAAAAATCTGGAATTAACATCCTAGTGATGACCATGAATCCATTGTCGATTGTCGGAAAAACCCATTTAGTTCACTAATGACCCCGAAGGAAGGAAACTGCCATCCTTACCTGGTCTGACCTACAAGTGACTACAGACCCATAGCAATGTGGTTGACTCTTAACTGATGGATTAGGGATGGGCAATAAATGCTGCCTAGCCAGTGATGCCCACAGCCCATGAATGAATAAAGAAATTTTTAAAAATTACATGAACTTAGCAGTGTTGCAAGCTGCTTAAAGCTGCAACTTTTTAAACTTGCCACAATATACATTCCTGAAAAGGTGGAGTCAGATTGCACATCAAAGAACATCTGAAGATGGGATTGAATGTGTGGACATGAGTAGATTTCCTATAATTGTATTTGCCTTTTATTGAAGAGAGCTGTTTCTACTTCTAATATCTTTATCCACCTAAAACCTCAAAGAACTCAATTCACACTGTGACATTCCCTTTCTTCAAACACTTGGCAACTTCGCATGCAATAACCACTGCAAGGTAAGGAACTGTAAATTAGTACCTCATTTTGCAGCTATGCGTAAATACAAGTTACTAGGTTTTACCTGGCAAATTAGAAATGCAAGTGAGCCATTCAAGGCATTGAGTCTGATCTGCCATTCTATTCAGTTATGATTGATGTATATCTCAAATCCATTTTGACTGCCTTTGTCAAATATTACTTGATTATATTTCTGTAGAAAGGTTCAAAATCTCATTTGAGATTTTCAACTGACCCATCACTCAAGGCCTTTCGGGGGAAGGGGTTCTAGATTTCCATTAGCCCTTGTGCAAAAATGCATTGTAATTTCATTCCTGAATAGCTCTGATTTTAAGATCACATCCCCTTGCTCTGGTTTCTCCATGAGCAGATTTTATTTCTCCATAATTATCCTATGTCTTGCCTCAATCTTTATTGTGCAAGGCCCTTGGTTAGATCAGTCTTAAACATTTAAACTCAAAAGAGGCAAATCAATTTTTTTGAAAACTGAATGTTATAATTTAATCCTTTAAAAGTTATGTACAACGTCTGAGCTCTGTTGGAGTAGTGAACAGTCCTTGTCTATGAAAGAATTGGAGCACATGCGAAAATAAATTGGGTACAAATTCTGAATTAAATCAGACCTATCAGAAAAGAAACAATGGTTCTATACAAAAGAGGGGAGATTACAGAGGTTTTTCAAGACTGAAAAGACTTAACTGGGTACATGTAGAGAAAATATTTCTACTTGCGTGAGAAGTGAGAACTGGAGCTATAAGATGGGTACTAATAAATTTAATAAGGAATTTGGGAAACCTTCTTTAACCCAAAAGTGAGTCACATTACCATAGGGAGTAGTTGAGGTGAAAAAAACAGATTACTTCAATAGAGAAAAAGATACGTACATGAGAGAAATAGTACTAGAAGGATATGCTGATGAGCTTAGAGGAAGGGCATGGGGAAGAGACTTAGAGTCATAGAGTTGTAAAGCATAAACAGACCCTTCGGTCGAACTTGTCCATGCCAACCAGATATCCTAAATTAATCTAGTCCCATTGCCAGAATTTGGTCCATTTCCCTCTTAAACCCTTCCTAATGATGTACGCATCCAGATGCCTTTTAAATGTAATTATACCAGTTTCCACCACTTTTCCTGACAGCTCATTTTATGTACCCACCTCTGCGTGAAAGGGTTGCCCCTTAGGTCCCTTTTAAGTCTTTCACCTTAAATCTATGCCCTCTAGTTTTGGACTCCACTACCCTGGGAAATGACCTTGGCTAATCACCCTATCCATTCTCCTCATGATTTTTATAAACCTCTATAAGGTCATCTCTCAACTTGCCACGCTCCAGGAATAAATAACCCCAGTCCATTCAGCCTCTTCCCTATAGCTCAGACCCTCCAACCCCAGCAACATTGCTGTAAATCTTTGCTGAACCCTTTCAAGTTTAACATGTTTCCTATTAATAAGGAGGCCAGAATTGAATGCAGTATTCCAAAAGTGGCCTAACAGATGTCCTGTACAACTGCAACATGACATACCAACTCCTGTACTCAATGAGCTGACCAATAAAGGCAAGTGTACCAAACGCATTCTTCACTACCCTGTCTACCCTTGACTGCAATTTCAAGGAACTGTGAACCTGTACCCTAATGTCTCTGTTCAGCAACACTCCCGAGGACCCTACATTCTCAGTGTATACATTCTCCCTGATTTACCTTACCAAAATGCAACATCTCACATTTATCCAAATTAAACTCAATCTGCCACTCATCAGTCCTTCTGATCAAGGTCCTGTTGTACTCTGAGATAACCTTCTTCATTGTGCACTGCAGTACCGATTTTGGTGCCATCTGCAAACTTACCAACCATTCATCCTATATTCACATGCAAATCATTTGTATAAAGGACAAAAAACAGTGGACGCAGCACCGATCCTTGTGGCACACCGCTAGTCACCGGTCTCCAGTCTAATAAGCAACCTTCCACCATTACCCTGTCTCCTACCTTCAAGTGAATTTTGTATTCAAATGGCTAGTTCTTCCTGGATTCCATGTGATCTAACCCAGTCTACCATTTGGAAAGTTGTTCAACACCTTGCTGAAGTCCATTTAGACAATGTCCACTCTTCTGCCTTCATCAATCTGCTTTTTATTACTTCTTACTTGGGTCGGATGTAAACAGCTAAGATGGACCTGTTGAGCTGTATGCTTCTGTGTTGTAAATATCTAATTGAAGTACATTTTATAAATCAAGAGAGCTTTGTATAGTAGGTTCATACTGAATCCAGGAAGCTCTTGAGTTGATTGTTTTTTGGTTTGGTAGTGCTGGTGCAATTCAGGAAACTAGACAATTGCTAGTCCCCTTTTAGCCTATTTTTCTAATCAATCTGTTCAGAGATATTATTGCACACCTCTGGAGTAGGTGAATTTGAACCTGGGCCTCCTAATTCAGGGGTAGGAACACTACCATTGCTGGTTCTGACTCTGGATTAGTAATAATTAGCACCTGTCCCAAGGTAGATCTGGCTGGCTGCTCAATGCACATTTTAGTTATTTATTGAAGCTGTTTGGACATGTTATGCCATACTTCTGGGACAGGTGGGACTTCAGATCAGACTTTCCAGATTAGAAGTGCCGAAAGACCCCCAATCAATGCCAACTTAAAATTGGGTGCAGTGAAACCATTAATTAACGCTGAGCAAGTTTTTTTTATTGACTGCTGTTTAAAATTTGTTGCAGTCTCAGGCATACAGTGATGTATGGATGTACCTTTAGTAAGATGCAGTTATTTACTTTATTGATCTCAGGTAGAAGTTAAGTAGTGGGAGGTGAGCTATTAGATGTGTTATTTACAGTGGGAAGTTATTAAATATTGGATAATTGGCTGGGGTGAGATATTAGTTGTTTTGTTGGTGGTAATGAGGTAAGCTATTAGTTGTTGGATCACGGGCAGAGGGTGAGGTAGTATGTTGATAGTGGTCAAGTATTACTAATTGGATTATGAACTAGGGGTGAGTGTTAGTTACTAGATTATTGGCAGGGGATGAGGCATTAGTTATTGGATCATGGAAAGTGGCTGAGCTATTAGTTGGATTATGGGTACCTCACATGAATATGTGTTATTTATAGGATCAAGTATTAATTATTGGATGAGTTTATGTGGTGGATGAGTTTATGTCATAGAATCCATACAGTGCAGAAAGAGGCCATTCAGTCCATTGAGTGCACCAATCCTCTGAAGAATATCCGACCCAGGACCCCCCCCCCCCATCCCCATAACCCCACATATACTACAGCTAATCCATGCAGCCTGGACATTATGGGGCAGCTTACAATGGCCAATCCACCTAACCTGCACATCTTTGGACTGGAAGGAAACCAGAGTTGGGAATTATTAGTTATTTTGTTATGGACAGAGGGTTAAGTATTGTTGGTAAGGCCAAGTATTAGTTAAAAACCAAAAGAACTGCGGATGCTGTAAATCAGGAACAAAAACAAAGTTGCTGGAAAAGCTCAGCAGGTCTGGCAGCATCTGTGAAGAAGAGAGTTAATGTTTCGGGTCCGGTGACCCTTCCTCAGAACTGATCAAGTATTAGTTGTTGGACCATGAATAGTGAATGAGGTATTGCTTATTGGATAATAAACAGGGTGAAGTATTAATGGTAATATTATTTAGGTGCACTAATTATTGGATTATGGATAGTGGATGAAGTATTATTCATTGCATTATGGGCAGAGGATGAAGTATTATTGGTAAGGTCAAGTATTAATGGACCATGAATGGAGGGTGAGTTATTAGCAGAGGTGGGTATCATCTCGAGTATCATTGACAGGGTAAGCTATTAAATATGAGATAGTAGGAACTGCAGATGCTGGAGAATCCGAGACAACAAGGTGCAGGGCTGGATGAACACAGCAGGCCAAGCAGCATCATAG